ACTAACTTTTTTTTAAAATGACACTGCATGATAGATTGAAATACTACTAACTACATGAAATATTACTAAGATTTGAGTTTCACTAACTTTTTTTTTAAATGACACTACATGATAGATTGAAATACAACTAACTAAAAACAAGAGTAGATTTTTTTTTTTTTGCTCATTCATAGCTTGTAATTATCATTATGTAACACATAATGGAATCTAACAGCACAGGTCCAACACTTTCACTGTCCTGTCTCAAAAATATAATTCACCTTTCACAAGAGCATAAAATGGATTTCCACTTTTCATCACTTTCAAAAGAAAGTATCTTTCCCATATCCTGAAAACTTCAAAAAACCCAGTCTTTCCTTCTATCACTCCTTCCTTACTGGCATTTTTTTTTTTTAACAAACAGTTTGCTCAACCTGTGACTTCAAACCCACGGTTTTAAACTAGTTCATAGCTATATTACCATTCAAATTGTACTTATCCGTATTACCATTCAAATTGTACTTATCTACATGATCATTCAGACTGTCATAAGGAAATGAATGGTATCTCCCACATCGAAACCACAGGCCTCCACTTCAGGTTTTAGCTGTTCTGAACTGTCTTGGGAATGGAGAAGTTGTGCAAGGCTCATCAGAATGACAGGAATTTTTAGAGCTCTTACTGTGCCAGGCGCTGTACTGTGCTCTCAGGAATATTCCATCCATCTCCCCCTTTTCACATAGACTAAAACTGAGCCTCAAAATTATCCAACTCCTATAGTTTAGTGAAGCTGGAACCACCTCAATTCTGTAAGAAAATTCCATGACTTCCCACCATGAAGTTTTGTTCCGCAGTTCTCTTCCAGCTCCTGAGCCTCAAGCTCGTTTCCTTATCCTCTGACCATCCCTACTTCTTTATCACACACACACACACACACACACACACACACACACACACACACCACGATCTATCTACTCCAAGGCATTCCACCCCTCACTCATGGCTTCAATTCTAGTCTGTATTCATGCTTCTCAAACATTTAAACCATTTTGCAAACATGGAAATTCCGTGTTCTTTCTGTAGTTTATATTACATTTTGAAAATTGAGTTGCCCCCCCCCAAAAAAAATATTAAATGTTTGCTCAAACTGTATCGCCCCCTTCTCAAGATCAGTACGATGTCTCTTAATGTATATCTCCCCTTCTGGGCTCTCGCTCCCAGTCTTTTCTGTGAATACAAATATCCCCAACTGTCTAATAAACAGTTTAATAAAGACAGTTCCATGATTGTTGCTCTGGACTCCATCCTTAACCTGTTCAAAACAAAATCATTTCCTTTAGCAAACCTAATCCATCTTGGAGTCCTGACTTTGCCTAGCAGTCTCACAATTCACTGTCTGTGCTTCAAGATACTTATTTGCACTGACTGGTCTGAGGTACTACATTAAAAATCAATACTCAAGGCGGTCTATTATGGCCAGGAGTTAAGAAATGCAAAACAGTACAAAACATAACGTTTGTAAGGGTGAGTAAGCAGAAGTATAGTCAGAACAAGTTTTGATGAGGCATTCTCTCATCTATAAAGCAAAATTAAAACAAATCACAAACCCCTCAGTTTCGTCTTGACCATTATTCCATTTATCATTACCGTTTTACAGGTGAAAAACCCTGACACTTCATTTTCCACTCTTTTATTGTTGCAAAAGAAAAAAAAAAAAACATCCACACACACAGAGAAAGGACAGACCTGTACAGGACAAAAGTCCCCAAAGGGCAGCGGGAGTCGGGTCCGGCGGCTGACCCCCGCCCCGCCGCCACCCCGGCCACCTCTGCGGCCTGTCCAGGTCGGCGAGAGCCGGGAGAGCCGGGGCCCGCGTCCCACACGCGGCTAAGTGGCGTACCTGGTGGCGAGACGCCTGCAAAAAGGCGGGGGTCGCAGCAAACGCAGCGGGTGATGCTGGCCACACGGCCTGCGAGGCTCACTGCACCCCCGGCCCGGGGCGCTCCACACTCCGGGGTGCGCAGCGCGGCGCCCGAGCTGGACGGGGACG